TTAGCTTTCCAGATAAGATCTAAGGAGCCTCATAAGGTCAAGCCTAATTATGCTAAGAGGACTGTGCGCTCTAAGCTGGGACTTGTTTGTGACTTTGCCAACAGGTCAGTCTGAGGCTTAACCCTATAGCCGCGCCTTACAGGAAGCAAACTTGGGGATGGCTTACTCCCAGATGGAGGTAATCCCAGTGGTCATTATTCCTGTGTTGGGATTTCCCCCTTCACAGAGCTGACTGGCAGCCATATCTGAGTTTCCATCAGCCTGGCTGATACTGTTCCCTCCATCCTGATGATTCCCTGAGACCCTGCCCCATCTAACTTACAACCCCACCCAAGCTGTTTACAGTGGCTTTTCCATACGAATGGCCTGTCCTTGCTAAGGTTTCAGACTTTCCTAAAATCTCTTAAACAAGCAGCCGCTGGCATCAGCATGGCCCATACCTATTAATAAGAGGCCCAAGACCCAGCACTAGTGCCCAGCTAGGCCTCGCCTGGGCGCTTCCAAAACACCCAATCAGAAGAGAAAAAAAAGAAAAAAGAATCCAAAAATATGAAGATAGTGTAAGGAGCCTCTGGGACAACTTCAAGCATACCAACATTCACATTATGGGGATGCAAGTTCAGGAAGCGCAGACAGTCCCAAACAAGAGGGACCCAAAGAGGCCCATACCAAGACACATTATAATTAAAATGCCAAGAGTTTTGTTTTATGAGGAAAAAAAAGCAGCCATCTGCAGATTGGTTGGTAGTTCCTGCTGGGTGGCCCCAGGCAGTGGCTGACTTTGTACCTCCCAGGAGGCCCTAGAGCAGCGGTTCTCAACCTGTGGGTCGCGACCCCTGAAAATACATGCTGCATATCAGATATTTACATTACGATTCATAACAGTAGCAAAATTACAGTTATGAAGTAGCAATGAAAATAATTTTATGGTTGGGGGTCACCACAACATGAGGAACTGTATTAAAGGGCCAGAAGGTTGAGAACCACTGCCCTAGAGCCAGTGCACCGTGGACAGCTTCAGACCATACCAGGTTACAAATCTACATATCCACAAGCAACACATTCAAGGGACAGACTCAGTGAGCACCAACACCCCACTGAAGCAAGTTCTGCTCCATAGGGGTGTCTCCTGCACAGCAGCTCTTCCACTGTAGTTGCTGATGGTCCTCACAGCCAATAAGCTTGGAAGTCAACTCCCAGTGATGCCAACAGCAATCAAGGCTCAACTTCAACAAAACTATGCACACAGCCCACACAGGGGTACACCTAGAGTGCCCAGCTCAGGTGAGTGGGGAGACTGAGCCACTGGGTCCTACATGGCAACTACTACACAAGGCCTCTCTCCCAACTCCAGGAGACAAAGCATCTCTACCTAATATATATAAATAAACACAGGAAAGCAGCCAAAATGCAGACACATAGAAACATGTCACAAATGAAAGAATGGACGAAATCTCCTGAAAGAGAATTAAATGAAATGGAAGCAAGCAAACTACTGGATACAGAATTCAAAACAATGGTTGTTCAAGGATCTTAATGAGAGCTTCAAGTGACTCAAAGAGAGCTTTAAGGGCTTAGTGAGATTTTCAAGGATCTTAGTGAGAATTTCAAAG